ACCGCCAAGGCTCCTTGAGAGCCCAGAATGAGCATCCCGTCCCCCCCATCTCTCAGTGCATCCCTTGAATTGTGCAGGAGTCACACAGAGCACTGAAAGCAGCTCCTCATCGAGCATATAGGGGGTATGTCACAGCCAGTCACAGCCTTCCTCCCTCCCTGCCTGCTCCTTCCACACACTGTCCCTACAAGCAGGAGGACACTTCTATTTTATTCTCACTCTGTTCAGTCTTGGGCAGGGCTTTCCCTGGAAGATGGAGCCAGCTGTGCAATGGGCCAAACGAGGTGGTCTCATTGAGCTTCCATCCTCCTCTCCAGGCCCTGAGCATCTGCTGAGAGCAGGAGGAAAAGGCGTGTGGGCTGGCTGCATGTCTGCTGGGGCCCTACATGGGTCAGCTTGCCCTGGCACACAGGTCCCGAGGCCATGTGGCCGCACTGTTGGAGGTGGCTGGGGATGATGGCTACCTGTTTCACAGTGGTCAGCCCTGCCTGCCCCGTCATTCATTCCTGAATTCCATCCTCGAGGCCAGGCAGATAAGAGGATGGGCCTCAGGCTCTACGCCTCCCAGCTGTAGGACTCTGAGATTTCACTGCACTTCTCTGAGCCTGTTTCCTCATCTGCAAAATGAGACGACAAAACCTCCACTGTAAGAATGAGACAGGGTAAGACAGGAAACCTTCAAGGCAGTTGTGCTCTGCCAGGCTGTCCTCTCATCCAAGGGGGACGCTGACATTCCCGCCAGATAACAAACTGACTGGGTGCTGGGAACAGGGAGTTAAGACTCACACCAGTGAGCAGAGGAGCAAAGGGATGATGACCAGGGCCAGATGCATCCTAGATGCCAGTTCATAAGGTGGTCCAGAGGGACGTAGGGTATGGGCAGTCGATTCTGCCCTGGGGTTTGGATTAAGCCTGCTGGACAAATGGGCATCTGCCAAGCTGACCCACAGGGAGGAGGACGCTTGAGGCAGAGGAATTGCCAGGCAGGGTGGGAGGTGGGGGAGTGCTACGCTGGGGTCTCTGCCTGCTGGAGATGTATTCTAGCCCCTGGGGACCATCTCAGGTCCAGCCTGCAGAGATCAGACTGCAGAGGGACCCAGAGCAGGGCTGTGGCTCCAACTATTAAAAGGATGGATTTGAGAAGCAAAGACAGAAACTTGACTTCTGGACCCCCGGTAGAGAATCAGCCATGTTGAGCCCAGAAATCAACCCAGCTGTGGCTGAGGGTGCTGGTGGCGGGTTCTTCCCGACTGGGCATATTGTGAGGACTGAAGGGCTGGCTCCCTCCGAGTGCTCCTGTGGTGACTGAGTGGGCATCTGAAGGATACATCATCTTCATCCGTTCTTCCTCATCTTCACCCTTTCTTCCTCATCTTCATCATTTCTTCATCTTCATCATTTCTTCCTCATCTTCACCCTTTCTTCCTCATCTGCATCATTTCTTCCTCATCTTCATCCTTTCTTCCTTCCACAGGCTAGGACAGGAATCCTCACGCTGAGTTATACCTGGCGGAGGGTCAATGCTTCCTGCTCCACACCTTCGGCCCCAGCGAGCCAGTGTTCCCCGACCCTGCACGGTCTGTGGCCAGCTGCTTCCTACCACCCCCATCACCGAGGCTACTCTCCATGCCCAGGGCAGGTCCCTGGGTTCCTGCTCCAGCTCATGTGCCTCCCCCAGAAAGCCAAAGAGTGCAGAGTGGGTGCCAACCCTACCTGCTCCTCAGACGCCACCATGGGTGCCCCAGGTGGTTATGGGAGTCCGTCCCTGTACTGCCCTTTGCCCCATCCTGGTCACTGGTCTGTGTCCCAGCTGATCATCCAGACGTCTTCAGGACTGACACAGAGCAGAGGCCGGTGAACACTGGTCCCCAGCCCTGGCAGACAGATGGCAGATGAAGCTAAGAAAACTTGGAGGGGGCTGCTTGGGAGCTGGGAGCCCCACAGCCTGCTCTGTGCTGCTGGCTTGGTCAGGAACTGAGTCTCTAGAGCCATTTGCAGCCCAGCCTCCTCGCAGTGCAGTCCCTTGGGCACCAGCCGGGTCAAGGGCCCATCAATGTCAGGATGTCTAGATGTGAGGCAGAAGCTCCTTGGCCTGGCTGAGGGCTCGGGGGGTTGGGAGCTGACCTGAGCCTCACCAGACCTGTGAACGCTCAACAGACCCCTTCTGAAGGTGGGAGCATCAAGGAAACTGAGGACCACGGGGCAGCCCACTCACTTGGGCCCCAGCTGTGTCTCAGTGATCAAGCCGATGCTCCTCTCTCTCTTGCACTGCCCTCGCAGTCCTCCTTGGTGAAGTGTGGGTGGGGTAGACTTTGGTGTGTGGCTTTGCTATTTTTCTGGCTGTAGGCAGAGGAAGGAATGGAGAGGAAGCATGCCTTCACTCAGTGAGCACTCTAACTCCTACCAGACTCTGCTGGCACCAAGGAAGGGCAGGGGTCCTGGGTCAGAGAGAGGAGGCCCAAGGAGACACCAGAACACCCAGGCAGGGAGGCAGCAGGGAAGCTTCTCCCCTCATCACCTCCCCGCCACCCTGACCTGCAGACAGTTTCCCATCCGCAAAATGAGGGTGTCAGCCTCAGCTTTCCGCAGGCCCTTCCACTCTGACAGCCTGCAATGTGTTCCCGTGAATTCCTTCTTTCCCCGAGACTGTTAGGTGACTGGCAGCCTGACAGCTTTGGTAGAGAGTACAGCTAGGGCTTTTAAAAGACAGACGTGTGCGGTTGAAATTACAAACTGTAAATTGGCCCGCATGTGTGTGCTGACGCAGCAACACTCCCGCCTGCTCTGCCTGTGATGTGTGTGTCCTGGAGCAGCTGCTGGTGTCTGGGATAGCAGAAAGATAAAAGGCACCCCTTCTTTCTCTCCTCCCTGCTGCTTGTTCTGTTCATTCATTCACCTCACTCACTTCATTCATTCAGCAGCCATCGCTCAGCACTTTTTGTTTGCCAGGCACCACACTGCACAGAAGGGACAGGTACAGCGGTACCGATTCCACACCTACCCCTCTGCCTCATCCATCCTATGTCTTGCACTTGCCCAGGTCCGTGTTTCTTCCCAGGCTGCTCGCTCTTCCTTGGACACCCTGTCCCCTTTCCCTGGGCCAACCATGTTCAGGTCTCCAGGCTCCACTCGGAGGCTCTTTCCTGCCTGAGTCTCTCCTTGAGGCTCTCCTCACGGGTCCACTGTCCTGGCTCTGTGTGCACCTGCACAGCTGCCCTTGTCTGCTAGATTCAGAGCCCTCGGGGAGCAGGGCCACAGCTCATTCAGCTCAGGCTCCCCAGAGCTCAGCACAGGACTGAGCAGAGAGTAGACACTTAGCAAACGCCATTGAATACATGCAGGAGAGAGTGAGTGGTGGAGCTGAGAGAATAGGTGGATGGAGGGATGATCAACTGGATGGATAACAGATTAATAAAAGATGGATGGGAGGATGAATAGATGGATGGATGAGTGGATGGGTGGATGGTTAGATGGATGGGTTGGTGGATGGATGGATGGGTGAGTGGGTGGGTGGGTGGATGGATGGGTGGATGGGTGGGTGGGTGGGTGGATAGATGGATGGGTGAGTGGATGGGTGAGTGGATGGGTAAGTGGATGGGTGGGTGGGTGGGTGGATAGATGCATGGATGGATGGATGGATGGATGGATGGATGGATGGATGGATGGGTGGATGGATTGGTAGGTGGGTGGGTGGATGGATGGATGGGTGAGTGAATGGGTGAGTGGATGGGTGGGTTTGTGGGCGGGTGGGCGGGTGGGCAGATGCGTGGATGGATGGATGAATAGATGGGTGGATGAGTCGGTAGATGGGTGGATTTACGAGTAGGTAGGTAAATGAATTTCAACAGAGAAGACAGGCACACAAACACCCTGCCACTCTTAGAACTCACTTTTAATTTATCTATTTGAGGACAATCCATCCCCTTTGGAATTTTCCAGTGACTTCTAAACTTGACCCTGGATAAAGTACTTCTGAAAGTGCCACCTAAATAAAGCTTCAAATGGCAAGTGATATACAAGTCACTCAGCTGTTCTGGGGTCCCAGAACAGCTTCAATGCCATCATCAGGGTCCCCATCATCCTGGAGATTTGGACCCCTCTCTCTGCCACAGCCATGGGGTGCAGTGGGAGCCCCAAATCTGTCTCATCAGAAATCCGTTTGTTCGAACCATTTCAGGATGCTGTTTAGGGTGGGCCGGACGCAGCACCAGAGGCTGCTATGATTTTCCTGGTGCTCGTGCTGTTATGCATGGCCATTGTTCTTTCTATAGGAGCCTCATGTGGCTTCACCTTCCTCATCTGTAACATGAGACTGGCTTGGATGCTGGGCATGAGTTCTTCCCATTCTGATGCTGCCCACAGCATTAAGTCTGAGCCCCTCTGAGTGGACATCAAGGCTGGAGATGGACCAAATCAGCCCAGTGCTGTGGCTCCAGTAAACCCAAACCACATCCTGTGCCCCCAGTTGGTTTGGTGCCCACCTCACCTTCCTCCCAAATATCCACCCAGCAGCTAGTGAGACCCTGCTGTGTGCCCACCTGCCTTCTGTCCTGCCTCTGGCTCCCCTGCACCCAGTCCCGAGGAGCTGTCTCTAAACATAAACTCGGCCATGTCCTGCCCTGCTTTCAAGCCCCACAGGGGCTGACCGTGAGCCCACACTGGCCGCCCGTGAGCCCACACTGGCCCACCCGGCCCACGTCCTCTCCAACCCGTCCCTAACCACACTCCATGCTTCTTATTTGTGGACCACACCAGTGGATTCTCTGAGGTGCCCGAGCTCTGCCTGCCCTGGGCCTCTGCTGGAGTTCCCTCAATGCGGCTGTCTTTGGGCAGGGCTGACCCTTCACTGCAGAGAACCAGACCCAGGGCCCCAGCCCAGCAGCCACAGCAGGTCTGTGTGGGAGATGGAGACCCAGGGCACTGTTGCTTGAGGATTACTTATTAAAGGGGGAAAGCTGGACAATCCTAAGGGTGGTGCTGCCCCTTTTCTTTTGGACCAGGTAACCTGGGCTCACAGCTGGTGGAATATAAAGAAGAAATGTACATCACGTCAGACTGTGGTCACACCTGGTGGCAGGTAAGCTGGCCGGGAGGTGCCCGGCACCCCCACCCCGTCCAGCCAGGACCCTCCGTAGACACTTCTGTCATCCCATCCATTCCAGAGGCTCCATGGGAGAAGCTCTGAGCCATGTCTCCCATCTTGCAGCCCAAGTGGCTGGAGCCAGGGCTCACTTCAGCAGATGTGCATCTGCTGCATTTGAAAAGCAAGTCCAGGCAGATGGCTTGGACCACCCAGCTGCTCTTCCCATGGTCACTGACAGGGAGTGACAGATGCGAGAAATGTCTCCACACAGTTGGACATGTCACTGCGAACATCTGAGAAATGGGGATAAATGCCAGGGAACAGAACAGGGAGGAAGTCCCAGCCAGGAAGCCAGATGGCGCTTCTGGGGCTTGACTTGGGCTCTTTCGGGAGCCCAGAGAGAGGCCAGGAGGGGAGTATGGGGGACTGCAGGTTCCTAGCAGGGGTTGTGGACACAGCAGTGGAAGAGAATACGGGGGGAGGAACAGGTTGTGGGGGTCATCATGAGTCTGGGTTGGGGTGTCTGGGGGCTATCCCAGGTCCCGAGAAGAGAAAGGAAGTGAGGAGTGGAGACGAAGTGCACACTTACGTAGGACGCAGCCACTCCCACCAGCACAGGACGGCCTGGGCAGGGTCCTTCTGTGCTCTGTGCAGCTCTACGCAGACCTCAGATATTCAGACTAGAGGCGATGGTGCTGGTGGCCCTCAGAGTGTAGAGACAGCGAGGCTGAGGGAGGGATGCCAGCCGGTGCCACGTGTCCTGTGTGGTCCAGGCAGCTTTAGGATCCAAGCCTGAGCTACCCACCCCAGGAGGGGGCCCTGCCTCATTGTACACTGGTTGTTTCTTTCTGGGAGGCGGAGCATGGTCTTTCTGGCCGAAGTCGGCCTGCCAACCTCATGGAGTGGCAGTGTCTGCCTTACATACTGGGGAAATCAATCAAACTTACATATGACTCTCTCCTTCCAGACAAGACGTTCTGTTTGAGGTCAGTGTTTTACACGCCCGAGTACCCCAGCCACGGCCCCCCTCCCACACAGCAGTGCTCTGGGCACGCGTGGTAATCCCAAAGTGCAGACTTCACCTGCAGCCTGGGTTGAAGGCCTTGACGTTTTTTAAAAATATGCAAGAAACAAGGAATTTTCAAAAGGGCAAAGGCGATTTATTGTATTTTAATATTTCTATTTCACTAAAACTAGTGAAACATGTCTGAAGCTTCTTAAAGGTCACGTCTGTCTATTTGTTAGAGAAGGTTTCCCCGTATGAGATTCAATAGACAGGGTGAAATAGAAGGTTTTCTAATTTCATAGAAACGGATTACAAGATAGTCGCAGCCGTCGCTTTTGCTGAGCAATTTGCTTAGATTTCAAACTTGGGAATATCAGAATTAAATGGGAGAGCATCTAGGAAAGTGCTGAGCTGAGGCCTGGCCAGGTCTGTGCTTGGTGCCTCCCGAAGGACGGCGGGGTGCAGGGAAGGAGAGGGATTCGCCTGGCTGGCGGTGGGGGACAGGAGCCCAAGGGGGCAGGCCTGTGCATGCATGTGGCAGGGGAGGGAGGGATGTTCCTGTGGGTATTTTTTTTTTTTTTTTTTTAGTTTATTAGGGTGGGCTGGGGAGGAAGAATGCCCAGGCAGGGGCAGAGTGGGACAGAGGCAGAGAGAGCAGGATGGTGAGCCCAGGGCGGTCTCCATGGCTTCCTCTCATGCCCAGGTTGTCAGGGATGCAGTGAGATGCATCTGAGAGAGAACTCAGAATACGAATGTGGAATGCCAGAGTGCATCTGGTTTAATCGACATCACCTTTCAAAAACATGAGTTTCCTAGGTTGTTTTGTTTAAAGCCAGAAAATGTTACAGAGCCCCTGGCTGAAACCCAGTGTGTGGGGGAGGCAGGGAAAGGGTGAAGTGGAGACAGGGACTCTGCTCTCCCCACCCGGCCCTGCTGCTTGCTCAGGGCGCAGGAAACCACAGCAATGGACGTCTGAAGACCCTGCAGCCTGCTGGTGGAGTTTGGAAAACCCTGGAGTCACCTTTTCCCAGAGCCCCAAGCTAATGAGAGCAGATGTCATTCCCAGGATGGCCGGGAGGCACCCTGTTCGTCTCCCTGTGGGTGGATGCAGCAACACCTACCTGCCCACGTTTGGAGAGGAGGGTGGCCGGGCAGGCATCCGGGTGTCCCAGTGCAGAGCCCTGGCGCGCACCAGCTCAGGGGGCCAGCTTGGTACCAAAGGGAAACTGCACTCCAGGACTGTCAGGCTCTGGGAAGCCCACTGTCCTCTCACTGTACCACCCCCTGCTGTTCAGCAACCCCATCTCCCTCAGGGGACCCCCAAAGCAGCCGATTAGGCTCCCGGTGGAGCCAGGGAAGGGGGCTGCAGCCACACCTTCGAAGGGTGGGGAATCATGCTCAGGCATGGCGGGTGCGCTTATCCACGAGGCCCCTCTCCTCCAGCCTCACAGGACCCAGCGTGGTCTCTGCCACCTGCCTGGCCACGCAAGGGTTCCACTGCTGTCCTAGTGAGGGAGCCTCGCTTCTCCTCGGATTTTCCTCCTTCCTGGAGGGCAGCCCGTTGCTTGGGGATTCATTTTCCTCCTAAATCATTGTGGGAGCCTCTAACGAGCCCCTGCCCCTCTGGTCCATCTCCCCCAGCAACCAAGGAATCTTCTGAAAGGGAATGTGCTCTTGTCACTCCCTGATCAAGCCTTGGGTGTCACACCGGCCTCCAAGCTGCCCATCTGTCCTGGGGCCTCTCCGTGTGCCCCCAGGGCTCCTGCCCCAGCCACATGCTTCCTGCTCCCTGGACACAGCTGCCCTCCTGACCTCCAGGCCTTTGCCCCTCCGTTTCCCGCCTGTGATGCCCTTGTGCCTCTGAAGGTTTCCCCAAGCTCCACTTGTCCTGTGAACCCCTCCCTGGGCTACCCACTGATTCAACTCTGGACTCTCCTTAAAACAAGATGTCATTTGTCCACAAAACAATGGCTGAGCCCCTCGTCCTGTGGCAGGGCCTGAAGGGTGAAGATGACAGGGCCCCCTCTCTAGTTGCTGGTACCCCATGGGCAAGTCACTGTCCCTGTGTGGGGACGGTCTGCTTCCTTGGGGGTTTTTCCCTAGGCTATGAATCCCTTGGGGCCAGGCCTGCATCTATGCTGGCACCGCCAACAGAGAGGACCCAGACCAATGGGTCTGTCAGATGGGTAGATCAATGGGGAGGAGAATTGTGGAAAGTTCTTCTTCCTAGTCCCCTAAAATCTGTGCCTGTGACACCGTAAAACCTACAGGCTGTCAGCTCCCTTGTCCAGGAAACAATTTCTATGAATGTAGCCATAGGCAATGTGCTTCTCCAAGCACTTTCCTGAGCTAGCGTCAGGACAGAGGATCCGGGCATGGCAACTCCCCTGCCCCCACTATGCCCTCTGGCAGACAGGACTGTGAACCCAGAGGCACAGAGTGTTGAGACATCTGGGAGCCCCAGATTAACTCTGAGTCCCCACTCCAGCCTCGACCCCCACCACCCACAAGAGTGTGTACCCACCTGTGTGGAGGCAAGATACCCACAGAGGCAGTCCCCGTGGAAGGGGCTGGGGTTGGTGTCTGGCAGTCACCAGCTGTGTGGCCTCAGGCAAGTCACTGTGTCTCTGAGCCTCAGTGTCTCTGGAAAGTGGGGAAATAACCTGTGAGCCTGGCTGCTCTTCAGTGAGATCCTGTGTGCAGGACACCTCACGGGCGCAAAGTGGCTGCCTGGATCCTGCAAGTCCCCTGACCAGACAGCCCAGCACCCACCCCACCAGGGAGGGGTCCTGGAGAGTGCCACCCTTCTGTGTCCATTTGGCCTCACCTGACAGACCCCTCCTCTAAACAGGAAGGAGGAGAAAGGAGGAAGGGAGGGAGAGAGGGAAAAGGAGAGAGAAAGGGAAAGGGAGAGAGAGAGAAAAAAAAGAGAGGGAGGGAGGAAGGAGGGAGGAGAGAAGGGGAGGGAGGGACAGGAAGAGGGAGGGCAGGTCTTCAGGACACAGCTGCTTTCGCCCTCATCGTTTTCATAAAGAGCCTCTGTCTTCTTTATCCAAGGCAAAAGTGCTTCCTGGAGAATTCCTAGGATGGTGGGAAATGACAGCAGATTGTGATAACCAGGAGGAAACTCCATCGTTTTTCATAAGGAGCCTCTCTTCTTTATCCAAGGCAAAAGTGCTTCCTGGAGAATTCCTAGGATGGTGGGAAATGACAGCAGATTGTGATAACCAGGAGGAAACGCCTGGGGAAGGGCTTTGCAGGGAGGGTAACGGCATGTGCCGAGGGCCTGGGTGTGTTCAGGGAAAGGAAGCAATGTGGGCAGGGGCCCCTCCTTCGGGGCCCTGAGGCCATGGTAGGATTTGGGCTTGACTCTAAGGGTCACGGAAGCATTGGAAAGTTCTGGTGGGATTGAGGAGCATGGGGGTCAGGAGACCTGCTGGACACCAGGGCCAAGGGTGTGGTCTGCCGGCCCCCACCCAGGTCTACTGGGGTTCATGTTCCTGTGGTGTGGGGCCTCAGTCCGTGTCCTCCCCAGGGCCTTCTGCTGGCTCCTGGAAAACCCAGCATTCAAACTCCAAGGGAGACTCCACATGGAGGCGCAGAGCAAAGATGGAGGCAGATGCTTCTCTTTCCAGTGTCCCCGTGATTGTTCCCCAGCTGCCCTTGAATGTCCCCCTGGAGCCTGGGGTGTCCCCAGCTCAGCACCCCTGGGGATAGTGCACATGCGGCCCTGTTAGGCTCCGTACCTGCTAGGAAGGGGTCAGTCAAGCCTCCTTACTTATCCCGCCCCACATGGCACGAAGTTGCTGCACGCGTGTCCCTGGAAGCTCTGCACAGCTGCACCTTCCTGGGAGGCCCAGGAGCCTGGCTCAGGTGGACATGTCCATAGTCCCCAAGGGCTCGCCGAGACCCTGAGCACACTGAGATGGATGAGCGTGTTGGCCCTAGTGGGGGCTGCCTGGGATGGCTGTCCTCTGTCCCCTCCTGGGCTTTCCTGTGTCCTGCTGTGGGCCACAGGCCTGGGAGACAGATGGGTGAGGATGGGAGGGCGAAGGGGGCCTCTTTGAGGAGGGGCGGTATGGGGCGAGAGCAATGTGGCGGAGATGGCAGTGCCCTTGCTGGGCATGTTGAGACAGGTACTGGCCGCCCACACATGCATGTTCACTGGAGATTCGGGGCAGGCCCCATGTGTCCTGGTGTGACTTTGGAGCCATCCCCCACTCTGCCACCTTCCAGTTGTGAGGGCTTGGCATACCTTCCACCCCTCAGAGCCTCAGCGTCCTCATGTATACAATGGGACCCCACCCTGAGGCTGTCGGCCAACAAGCAAGACCACCTCCATATCCCCTCCCGGGTGAGGCCTGTCCAGGCCACTCAGCCTTTTGTCCCTTGGGGATCTGGTGGTCGGTCATTCATTCACTTGTTCACTTATTCATTCCACACACACTCCCTGGGCACCAAGGTCTGAGCTGAGCTCTGTGGGGTACAGAAGGCTCACAGTGGCCCTGTCTTTGAGGAGCTCTGGCTGGAAGAGACAATGACAGATTAGCACAGTAAGTGTTAGGTCAGGGGTTTGGAGCCCAGAGGCCACTCCCCACTCAGCCTGGCATCAAGGAGGGCTTCCTGGAGGAAATGGCACTTGAGCTGAGTCTTCATATCAAATTGGGGTTTACTTTGACCAAGGCTGAGTATCGTAAATGTTTTTCTGTTTCTTTCTCATCTTCGTGTTGCCTGCACTCTGTGCCTGGGTTTTCACATGGAGAGGGCTGCATGCCATGCTCATTTGCAGTTTCCTTGTTCGGGTCGATAGGGTAGAAGTTGCTGTCCACCATTCAATCATCCAGGGTACGCTGAGTCTGCATGGGCTGAGAAAGCTTGGGGATGGCCCGGGACGTGCAGGGAACCCGCAGACCGGCCCTGGCCTCTGCCAGGGTCCCCCAGCTGCACATTGACGACCTGCCTCCCAGGAGCTGCTCAGCCTGGAATGACCTCCAACCTTCTCAGGGCCCTGCCCTCAGCCACACCACTCTCCCCTGCAGGTGTTCGAGGAAGAGCATCACATCCTGTACCTGGACCACGGTGGCGTGATCGTGGCCATCAAAGACACCTCCATCCCCTTGAAGATCCTCAAGTAATGGCATCTGCTAGCCCCGGGGCTGGGCGGGCTGGCTGTGGGGCGGGCAGGCTGTGGCGCGGGCAGGCTGTGGGGCAGCTGGGGCTCTTTCTTTCCACCTGGGAACCCTCTCAGACTCTTTCCCAGAATGTCCTCCCCTCGGGGACACGAGATCACAGGGCAACAGCACTAAATACTAGAGACCAGGGCTGGTGCACACCTCAAAAACCCTTCCGGAACAGTCATCGAGATGGACTTTGTCCTGCCCTCAGGAGACAGGCACAGAGGGAGCAGGCTGGGGAGCACAGAGGGTCTTCCCTGAGGAGGTGAGGAATTAGTAAAGTGCAGGGATTGGCACCAGGTAATCCAGACAAGGAAGCCAGCGTGTGCCCAGGTGAGAGGGTTGGCAGCTGAAAGCCCTCATGGGGAAGGGAGGGCAGGCAGGAACTCAGGACCCAGAAGGCACAGCTGGAGCAGCTGCCAGGAAGCCAGTATCACTGTAGTCTGAAAAAGAGCTTACTCAACTGCCAGATGGTGGCACTACAACACCAGCCCTGCCACGGGCCTGGCAACCCCTAGGCCAGGCTCAGGCCATGGGCGGGGCCATTCAGGGGATGCAAAGTGTCTGTGTGGTCCCCAGAAAACACCCCCAGGACTTGCAGCACGATGTGGATAAGCAGATGTGACATAAGCAGATGTGACGCCACCTGTGCTGGCAAGGCGGCTGGTGCAGCACCCAGCCCTCCAGCAGGACCCGCGGGGCAGAGTCCCAGACACAGGGAGCTCTCCAGCCCACCCTGGAGACGCTGACGATCTTCTCCCGGCAGGTTCAGTGTGGACGAGGGCCTCACCTGGAGCACGCACAACTTCACTAGCACCTCGGTGTTTGTGGACGGACTGCTAAGCGAGCCGGGGGATGAGACGCTGGTCATGACGTGAGTGCCGGGACCGGGGAGCAGTCGCTGGGCGGTGGGGCAGAGCCCTCCCCCAGGTAGGCCATGCTGGGCCTCCCTGGGCCCGCTGTGTCCTTCACCCCCGCAGCCACCTGGGAATCAGGGACATCTGCCACCTGCCCCAGGTCCCCTGGCTGGTGAGGGCAGGACGCAGGCTCCAGGCCAGCTCCACCACGGCCACAGCACCTCTTGAGCCGGTGATGATATCATGAGTATTACTATCTACTGGCACCTTTCTCAGCCATATGGCATGAATGTCTTAGGGCTTAGGGCCTGACACCCAGACAGGTCATCATAGGGCAGAGCTGGCTGTGACCCGCTTGTCACCCATTTGGGGGGCTGAGGCTGCAGCACTGGCCCTGCCTGGCTTCCTTCTGCTCAGCCCCAGCTTGGGCCAAACAAGGCATCATGAGGGGCAAAGGGGCCTCAGGAGCCTCTGTCGTTCAGAAGCCTCCCTGGCCCAGGAGCAGAGATGCGGAGGAGAGCGGGGACAGCGGGAACATGCAGGGTTTGACTGCACCGCTGCAGCCACAGTGGGGGAGAAGGCCATCCCCAGAAACCAGTAAGTGAAGGCCCCTCTGGGCGCCTTCGAACATGGGCCCCTGTGACAGCCCAGCTAATTCACGGGTTGGGCGAGGCCTGCGTGTCTAACGGCTCCTGCGACCCAGTGCTGCACATGGCGAGACCCCCGCGCCCTCTTCCCCCCTCTAATGGCGATCCGCGCCGCGCACGGCAAGGCCCCCGCGCCCTCTTCCCGCCTCTCATGGCGACCCCGCGCCGCGCACGGCGAGGCCCCCGCGCCCTCTTCCCGCCTCTCATGGCGATGCCTGAGATATCTGGATAGTGTGTCCCAAATTCACATTTCCCCGGAACCATGGATGGGACTTTATTTGGAAATAGGGTCATTGTCAGTGTAATCAAGCCAAGATGAGGCCAGGGAGCAGGGCAGACCCTGATCCAATGACCGTCCTTGTAAGAGGACACAGAGACACAGGCCCCGGGGAGGAGGCCTGTGGGGAGGAGGCTGGGGAGGGAGGAGGCATAGAGTAGAGCCGTGCAGCTACAAGCCCAGGAACACCCGGGGCCCCCAGGAGCTGGAAGGGGCAGGAAGCCTCCTCCTCTAGAGCCTCTGGAGGGAGCTCAGCCCTGCCAACCCCTGGATTTCAGTCTTCTGGCCTCCAGCGCACTAAGAGAGCACGTGCACAATGCTTCAGTGTGGGAGAGCACCTGAGTGATGACTGAAGCCGGCAGAGTTCATGGTAATTCGCCACAGTAGCCCCACGAAGCTGCCGTGACAGGCCACAGCTCCTCCACCTCGAGGCCCAGGCACAGGGAGATTGGACACCTGGACTTTGTACACCTTGTCCTCTGCTCTGTCCCTTCTAGAGCCGGCAGGCCCTGCCCTACCCATTTCCCACAGAAGAGCCAGGCACTGTGCCCCTCACCCTTGCCCACTTGGCTGGAGTAGGCATGTGCTCTGTGGCAGGTGTGGATCTATGGTCTGGAACTGACTCTGGCTGGCTTCAGCAGAAAGTGCTGGCCTGGCTCATTCACCAGTTCACACCTGAGTTTTCCCTTCCAGCTGGCAATGGCCCTTCACGCCCTCGACCCTGACTGGCTCTTCCACTGGCCCCTGAATGCCCCAGAGGGACTCACACGGATAGGCCCCCAAGAGTGCCTGACCCCAGCCTCTGTCTCCCTCCGTGTGCCCCACCCTACCCGGCAAGCACAGCTCCCAGGAGGCCACGGGAGGACAGCTCCAGGCTGTGGGGAGCAGGCCTGGTTTTGGAAAGAAATGCCCAGCTGGGACGATGCTGCCCACCCCGTCCAGGCTGGGCTCTGCCCGGACAGGGATGAGGCTGGGCTCTGCCTGGGCAGGGATGAGGCTGGGCTCCTCCTGGACAGGGATGAGGCTGGGCTCTGCCTGGACACGGATGAGGCTGGGCTCCTCCTGGACAGGGATGAGGCTGGGCTCTGCCTGGACACAGATGAGGCTGAGCTCCTCCTGGACAGGGATGAGGCTGGGCTCCTCCTGGACAGGGATGAGGCTGGGCTCTGCCTGGACATGGATGAGGCTGGGCTCCTCCCGGACAGGGATGAGGCTGGGCTCCGCCCGGGCAGGGATGAGGCTGGGCTCCTCCTGGACAGGGATGAGGCTGGGCTCCGCCTGGACACGGATGAGGCTGGGCTCTGCCCGGGCAGGGTTGAGGTTTGACTCTGCAAGGCCAGCATGTCCCCTCGTTTGTCAGGGAGTTTGGGCAGACGCCGCCCCTGAGCTCCCCTGGCTGCTGTGGCTGGGACTGGGAGCACAGCCTTGGAAGACACCACCACTGACCCCTGCTGCTTTCATGCCCACCACCCGTCACACCCACCCACCCTCAACCAACTCTGCTGCTTAACAATTAAACCGAGGCTCGGAGAGGAGAGGTACCTTGGCCCTTGCTGCAGGAGGAAACAACTGTGGCCTAGTCCAACTCAGACAGGCTCTCCTGGGCAGCTCTGTGGGCAGCAGCCTGTCCTCTCCGGGCAGAGCAGAGATGGGACCCCCTTCGAGGATGCTCCTCTGCTCTGCCTTCATCCAACATGCATTTATTGAGCACTTATTATGTGCCAAATCAGGATGCTTCTCTCCAGGCCGGTGTCCCTGGACAATGGACCGCACACGCTGCACCTCGGTTTCTGCAGCCCTGAAATAGGAAAATGAGTCGGCTTGAGGAGGTGTCAGGAGGATTCAGGGAAGCAGAACGTCTGTGCCCGGAAAATGATACTTCCCTTCCAGAGGCCTTGGCTTCCTTGTCTGTAACGCGGGGACTTAAACCCCACGAGGTCACCGCAAATGAGCCCTCAAATGATGCTCACCAGTGATGCTTGGGGCCTTCTCGCTTCCTGGATGATGAGCAAGAAATCGCCTGCTTAGACTCTGATTCTAGTATAGACGCCCGGCTTCCGCCCGCTCCCCAACAGACAGAGATCCCGGCTGGCCTTCCCAGGCCGTGCACTGTGGTGGGATTGAGGGGATGCTTGGACAGCTCTGCGTCCCACCTGGGGTCCTGGGCGAGGGGGAGCATTATTCCCAAGAAGGTGAGGGTCCCCTTCATGGGTCTCCCTGAATATCCAGTACCCGCCGCAGGTGGGTCCCGCCGGCCGGCCGACCTTTGATCGTGCATCCGTGTGTTTTCGAGGGCATGCGATGGCGCTCCTGGGTGATCTTGTCCTTCAGCACCCCCAGAGAACAGTGAGCCCCTTCCCCTCCCGCAGTCTAGGGGGCGTCCTCCCCTTCCTGGACCCTCTGCCCCAAGTCCTCCCTCCGTCTTTACCAATATGGCCTCCTGCGACAGGGGCTGCAATGCAACTTTAGTGAGCGCCCCACTGCATGCTACGGGCTGTTTTCATATGTGACCTCAGGCCATTCTCATAAGAAATCTAGACAGATTGATTTATTCCCCCATTTCTGGAGGTGCCAACATGTCTCAAAGAATTCATCCCTGAGGGAGTGGTGGGAGGGTGGGGACCCTGGGAGCCTGTCCTGTAAAAACTGGGTGGGGAGAATGACCCTTCCTATTCTCTCAGGATCCTCATGTTTGCAGCTTTCCCTGCCCAGTTAATTCCTGCTCCGGCCGGGCCCTGGACGCATAAAATCCTTCATGACTTTTGCCCATTTTCATGCCCCCAGAGGCCGTGGTCTGGGACAGAACAGGATGGTCCTGCCTTTTCCTACAGCTGCAGGACCTCCTGTGGCCTTTACGGGGAGAAGGAGCGAGGGAGGAAGGGAGTCTGGCCACCACGCATGCTACCTGCACTCGTTTGTGGTATGGACCCTTTGTGTGCATGTGGCCAGAACCCACAGAGCAACAGGGGGGCAGCAGTGCAGGGGTGAGGGCGGCCCTTACTCCTTACACAGAGATTAAGCGCCTTCTCCAGGCCTCAGCTTGCCCGGCCGAGAGATAGGAGCGCTGTCCATCTGGGAGCCTTGAACGAGCCTATCTCTACAGGGTGTCAAGCCCTTCACCCCGGCTGTCACGAGCATTGGTTAGGCCCCAGAGATGACCCAGCCTTCATCCCCCACCCACAGGTGGGGCATTTTATCCCAGAAGAATAATGGCAGAATTCACAGCCAGGTGCTATAACCTTTTAAGTTATTTTTAAAGCATCAGAACAGTTCCTCCAGCCCCACTGGTTCACAGTGCTGCATCTTCAGACAGCTGCCCAATCCCAGTGGCATACAAATAATTGAAACTGCAGGAGAGGGAGCATGCCGGCAGGTCAGAATCGAAGTCCCGCTGCAGGGGTCTGTGCGGGAGCGGCCCTGCCGGAGTGTTCCACAGCCACAGGCTCAGCTTTCGGCCACCCTGTCCTTCTTGGATAACTGTTTTGTCCAAATCTGCCCAAAGGACGCCTCTAACCTAGCCAGAGGCACCTTTTGGGACACTTTCCTGAAACCAGTCACTTTCACTTGCCTCCCTTTCCCCACAGTGCAGCCTCAGAGCAGGGAGGGGTCCCCAGGTCCTGGGCTTGGGTGAGAGGTGGAGTGGGGGCGCCCAGAGCCTTCCCCGGCTGCATAGTTCCACCCTCACAGCATGGCCCATTTTTTCCTCATTACCTGCAAAGTAATATCTAGGCCCCTTCGGCACGTCTTTCCTAAGACCCAGAATTAACTAGATGGCAGCTATGTCTTGTAGTATCAGCTGAGGGTTTAGGTTTCATAAAAGGCAGGGCTTCAGGGACATGGAGGAGGTTAATTAATCAACCAAACCAGCCTCTCTGCTCTGCCCCAGCTCAGAACAGCGGGGAGACTGAGGCCTCCCGGGGGTCTCTGCGGCCAGCGGAGCCCCAGTGCCATGTTTCCACGCAGAGCCTCACAGCTCTGGAGCCGCCAGCCCGGGTTCCAACGCCGGCCCCTCCAGGAGGTGGCCTGAAGCTGTGCTGCCCTAGGCGAGTCCCTTGCCTCAGCCTCAGTTTCCTTGTCTGTGAAAGGGGGCTTTGGCGAGGAGGAAATGGGGGAATACAAGGTCGCACCTGGGCCTGGCCTGCAGTGGGTGCTCCGTATACACCAGTGGCTGCTGCTGCCGTGCCTTTCATGATGCCACAGGTCACAGGAGAGAGTGAGGATGCTCTCAGGGATCCAGAAGTTTCCCCTAAAAAGGCATTTCTTAAGTGAGAGAAGACCCTCAGATGCTGTTGAAGAGAACAATGTACCAGGCATAGTCTGGACAGTGATGCTGAAGGAAGATCCCAGTGTGTTGAGTTGGAGCTCTCCAGTGTTGAGGCCGTCCAAGTGGCATCCATCAGGAGACAGCAAGTGAGACCCTCATCCCAATCACAGGTGCCCTGGAGCCAAGACCTCTCACAGCCGGGGCCACCATGCAGGCCCACAAGATTCCTCTGTTAGAAACAGCACCTGCAGAAGCGGGCGGACGTGGCAGAGTCACAGTCGTACCTGGGGACCTTCCCCGTCCTTGGTGGGTGTTGCCACTAGCAGCTAGGAGGGGTCTCAGGCCGAGAGCTCAAGCCCCATTTCCCCACTCCTCTGAGAAAGAACGGCCTGGGGCTCCTGACCCCCATGCGCAGAGAAGAAAGCAGATGGGATTGTGAGCCCAGAACCAGGGTCCCGGCTGGAATGAAGGCCTGGCAGTGACGTGGCAGGAATGCGGGATGGAACCGGCCTGGCTGCTCCCTCAAGGAGCAGGCCTTATGGGAGCACAGGGAGGCAGGGTCCCTGGGGGAAGGTCCAGGCAGACAGAGGGAGGCCCCATGCTCAGCCTGCAGAGGCTTAGGGTTTCATCAAACAAAGACAATAGTGTCTGCCTCTTGGGACTGTTCCGGAGAGTGGAGGCAAACATGAGGTCACAGATGTAATTCAAGCATGGACCGCCGCAGGCTCGCCTGGCTCAGAGGTGCCCCGTGGAGCTGAATCTTCAAATATCAGCCTCAGACACTCAGACCCAGTTGTCATGTCCTCAGAAATACCCTACGAAACCTTTCTCAACACCGCCCTAGAATGGGATTGTCCTTTCAGCTCACGATGGGCCACCCCCAAGTATCCAGCCCCAGTTGGGGGTACTCAGACGGGGACCAGACTGGAGCAGCGTGCATCACCTTCCCCACCCAGATGCTTGGCCTCTGGTAACATGGCCAGAGCACCACAAGCTGGACTGGAGAAGGCCCAGGGAAGAGCAGGCTGGGCCCACCTTCTGGGTGGTCTTTGGAGCCTAAGTGTGTGGTACTGAGGGATGGAGTTGAAGGCACTCAGGCAGCAGCCCTCTCAGAGAGGGAGAAAGTGGGGCACCTGAGTGCCATTCTGAGTGATGGGCACACAGCAATGACTGCTGACTGCAAGGAGGGAGAAGGAACAGCACAAACAAGCTGTGTGACCTTGGGAAAGTTACTGAACCTCCCTGTGCCTCGGCTTTCCATTCTGTAAAACGGGGTGGACCTGGCCTACCAGGCTGTGTATGCATAGCTTCCAGCACACATGGGTGCGCCCTAAGTGGCCAGCCTCCCTATTCTCTCTTCCGCCACTTCCCCCACCCACCTAGGCTGTGATGGGCCAACCTTGCTCATCCCGTGGGCTCTGAGCTGGGCCTGCTGACTCGTTATTTCTGAGTCGTCACCTGTACTAGGGGGCAAACGCCCTGTGGCCCAGGGATGAAAAGCTGGGTTTCTGCAGCGCAGAACCCTCACACAGTCAGGCTGGGGGAAAACCAGGGAGAAGCCAGACAGCCGCAGATGCAGCCACCTGACCACAGATCATTCCGCAAAACATAATGCAAGGACCAGTGTGGGGGCTGTGGAAGGGCTCCCAACCCTCCTGTGGACCTGGGCCTCCTTCCCTGTCCATCAACATGGGCCATGGTAGGTCAACCGCAGCGACTCAGTGCAGCTGACAAGTCATAGATCACATGTGGTAGTTGTGGGAATATTCGTGCCAAAGCCCACGGAGTACCTGTGCAGGGCCAGGCTCAGTGCCCGGGGCAGCCTCGCTCTGATCCCCAGCAAGGGCAGGAGAGGAGTCTCTGTGCTCATGGTACAGGTAGGAACAGAGTCCAGAGGGGACATGATTTGCACAGTAGACGAGGCCTAATGAAGGTGGTTTTCTCTCCCTTCTCTCCTCTTCCCACCACAGGGTCTTTGGCCACATCAGCTTCCGCTCCGACTGGGAGCTGGTCAAGGTGGACTTCCAGCCCTCATTCTCCAGGCAGTGTGGCGAGGAAGACTACAGCTCCTGGGACCTCTCCAACCTGCAGGTGGGCCCGGATGAGGCTGGGATCGAGCAGGTGGGGTGCACACTGCAAGTGCAGGCTCACTCTGCCTGCCAAAGTCCTCCCCGGCAAGGCCGCAGGGTGCCTCCCCGCCTCCAAGAAGTCTTCCGGGAATCCCCAGCACCTTTAGATATCCAGGCCTCCTGTGGGCTTTTCTAGACCCTTCTCGGTCATGGAGCTACCTGGGCTGAAGGTCCTCAGCCACACTCGGAGAGTGTGGGGCCACAGGCTCTACCCCAGCCCGTGGAGTTCAGTGTGCTTGGGGTTCAGGATGTTCAGATCTTAGGAAGGTAACACAGGCCTGTCCCACACACGACAGTGGGGTCTGGGTGTGGAGTGGGGTCTGGGGCGAGCCCACCCTGTAATCGAGACACACAACTGTTTCTACAGCAAATGTGTAATATGGACACTAAGCTGAGTATAAAGGCCATCAGTGCTGCCTCTGTGGTTCCAATCAGGCTGTGCTGCTGGCGGTGTGGTGGGGAAGCCTGGGATTTCAGAGTGCGGGGGCCTGGAACTGCTGGGGGGTGGGTTCAGGCTGTGCTGCTGGCGGTGTGGTAGGGAAGCCTGGGATTTCAGGGTGCGGGGGCCTGGAACTGCTGGGGGGTGGTTGGCCCTGATGAAGAAATGACTTAATGGCACTTGTTAAAGCACACGGTGGAAGACTTTACTCAGGGCCATCACGGTGGGTACAGGGACCCTCTCAAAGGAGAGACTGGGCTCAACTTGAATTCAGCGTGGGCAAATGGGAGTTCAGAGCCAAGGTCAGTGGGTGGAAACTGACTAAGAGGAAACAGCAGGCATCAGAGGATTTGACATCACCTGGGGGGCAGCAGGGGATGAGGAAGCCTGTCGGCTAGGGAGGGTGATCAGGTATTGAAGGTGGGCGGTGCTTGCCAAACTGCCTTAGCAGGGTGCATTGCTGAAGCTGGATTTCACAAGGAAGTGCTCAGATGGGCCCAGGAGGAGGTTTAGGAGCCTGAATACAGGCCACGGGGCATCCTCACCGGCCCCGCCCCTATTACTGCCACAGCAGCTGTTGCAGGGAGATGGGGTGGGCCTGTTCTGTTCTGATTGTCCCCTGAGGGCCCACTGTGTACTGTGAGCCCTCAAGGCTGTGACTCAGCCCAGCTCCCGCACAGCACCTGAGGGGACAAGGGGAACCTCAAAGGGGCTGTACTTCCAGCAGCTCTGCGACCCTTTGGGCCCAGCCAGGGCTGCACACAGGAGGGGCTCAGTGAATGCCCGTGGGTTGGGATGAGAGGAAGGCTTCCCCAACTTGACCGCAGACATGCCATGCCTCATTCAGGGCCTCAGTTTCCCCATCTGTAACCTGAGCCCTCAGCCATCTTCAGGCTCTGGGGGGCTCAGCAGCACAAGCCCACGCAGAGCAGTTGACCCGTCTCTGGCAACTCCTCACCCTGATGTTCCTGCTGCAGGGTGACCGCTGCATCATGGGCCAGCAGAGAAGTTTCCGGAAGAGAAAGTCCACGTCCTGGTGCATCAAGGGGAGGAGCTTCACCTCGGCGCTCACGTCCCGCGTGTGCGAGTGCCGGGACTCGGACTTCCTGTGGTGAGCGAGGGGCTCCTCGCTGTGGGGCCTCAGGTGCTGCTTGAGCATCCTCACAGCATGGCGGCCGCTTCCCCCAGAGTGAGGAAGGAAGCCTCAGTGCCTTCTATAACCTGGCGTGAGAGTCGCACACCGCCACGTCTGCTTCATTCTGTTAGAACCGAGTCACCAACACCAGCCCACACTCCAGGAAGGAGCTTTAAGGAATTTGTGGTGCATTTTTAGACCCTCTCAGTGGCTGCTCACAGGCAGGAGGAGAAAGTGAGGAACAGGTCAGGGCATTTTGGGGACATGCTGCACCCACCCCGGCCCTTCTCCATCCAAGGACTCTGCTGAAAGCCACCCGACCTGTCCCCTGTTGTTCTCAAAAGCTGCCTATGACTGCCCAGTGCCCACAGGACAATTTGGCTGACAGCTCACCCACCTGCCACCCACCTCACCCCTCCTCATCCTGCCCCCTGGCATTCCAGCCTCCTCCACCTGTACTGGTGCTGCTCAGGCTGGGCCCTGCCAGCAGTGCCTCTCCCTCTCTTTCCCTACCTGTCTTTGTCCATCCTTTGAGATTTGCTCACCTCCTCCAGGCAGCCCTCCAGGTTTCTCTGAGTTTCCAGCATCCCTTTGCCTCCCTTGTTACCCTGTGTTGCCCTCTGGGATGGGGCTGTGGGTGCTCCTTCCTGTCCTCACAGATGGGTGCATAGCAGGCCCTTGGCATGAGGTTCCCTTCCCAGCTCCCTCAGATTCCACCCCAACCCTGGCTGACTCCTGTTCCCACCTGTGCCTGTCACCTACTACTGTTCTTTCCTCCTCCCAGCGACTACGGATTTGAGTGCTCCCCCTCCTCAGAGTCCAACACCAACAAGTGCTCTGCCAACTTCTGGTTTAATCCATTGTCCCCGCCTGACGACTGTGCCCTGGGCCAGACCTACACCAGCAGCCTTGGGTGAGTGTGGGTGCGGGCCTCTCCCTGCCTAAATCTGGGGTCAGAGCTGCGGTACAGTCCCAAAACCATGCTGGTGCCTGCAGCTCCCAAGTGGAGTCGGGGAAAGAGAGGTCAAAGTTGAGGGTGCCCCGCACTCACAGCACAGAACCTGGCTGCGGGACTCATGTGAGTCACCTTAGCTCCCAGGCCAAAGGAGCCCGTAGGCTTCTCCCATCTGAGCCCATGTGGGCCAGTGCCAGGAGAAAGCTGCCTTGAGTTGGCTCTGGACAGAGAACAATAGACAGAAAAGGTCCAAGGCACCCGTGGCTCACACCTGCTGCAGCACGTCTTCCCCTGGCCTTTCTGAGCCTCTGCAGTGCTAGGACCCTTCCCCATTTACCAGTGCCCAGTAAACCAGGCCCTCTGCATTCACCAAGGCTTGGGTGCTGGAGGTGCTCCTGCTGCCTGCAGGTCTCAGCTTAAATGGCACTTCCTCCAGGAAGCCTTCCCTGACCACCCACCCCTGACCCCGAGCTTGCCTCTGTCACAGCACAAATCCCAGTTATTGTCATCATTCACCTAATTGTCCTCCTTGCTGAACTGTAAGCTCCACAACACACAGTAGGTGTTCCTTCAGTCTGTGGTATGCTGAGTACAAGCTGTTCATGAAGGGACAGCATCACCAAATGCAAGCAGTTATGATACTTTTCCTCCACCAGAGGCTGGGCATATTGCTATGAAGGATTCCGTTCATGTAAAATGTTAGGTACATAAGAGCTGTGAGTCTTCATCTTTAGGAGGTCCCAAACATGCTCCATCCAGAAGTCCCAATTTCCCCATTTCTCTTTGAGAACATTTTCAGAGAGGAAGAGAAAAGCCCATGGGCTTGTCAGAAAATCCCCATTACTTCCCCTGAGGGAACATGAGGAAACAGAAGGTAGGACCAGAAATTGCAGGCTTTGGCCTCACCAGCATATCTGCTGCCGTCCACCCACCCGTCCATGCATCACTCATTCATCCCCCATCTGCCCCTTTTATCCACCCATCATCAGTTAGCCATCATCTCTTCATTCATCCATTCATTCATCCATCCATCCATTCATTCATCCATCCATTCATTCATCCATCCATCCATTCATTCATTCATCCATCCATTCATCCATCCATCCATCCATCCATTCATTCATCCATCCATCTTTCCATTCATCCTACCATTCTCCCAGGCATTCAACCACTGTCCATACATCCATCTGTCCATCCATGGACCCATCCATCCATTCATCTATCCATCTACCATTCATCTATTCATTCACCATCCATCAATCCATCCATCAAAATATTCACCTATCCCTCTATCTACCCATCAGTTCATCCACTATCCACCCACCCATCTATCCATCCATCATCCATTCATCCATCTACCCATCCATCTATCCATCCACCATGTATCCATTCATTCACTCACCGTCCATCAATCCAAACCAATCTACTTATCTATCCATCTGTCTACCCATGCACCCATGTATCATGAAGCTTCAGCAGTTGCACATCCACCAGAGAGGCAACCCAACAGGTACTCTTGTCTGAAGTGTCAGAGCCAGGACCTTGATCAAGGCAAAGGATTTCACCTCATACCATCTGCACACTGTAGGTGCCATGGGTAGGTAGCCCTTAGAGAAGGGTATTTTCTTTCAAAGCACTAATCAAATGGGCTTGTGCATGATCAACTTCTGAATGCTTATTTAACGGCAGAGCCATCTGGGAGAATTTGACCAGAGGGCAAGAGGATCACCTTGGGGGCCATTTCCCCAGCACCTTGGCAGCAACGTCGCTTTCACAGGCTCATAGGTAGCCTGGGGAGCTTCACAAGTAGCTGGATGAGGCCACCCTTTTAAGCAGTCTCCTAAAATGTTGCCCAGGGCCCCTCTCAGCCTCATGCCACACCTGCTCCCCTCAGGCTCAGCACCCACCTAGCGCCTTTGCACATGCTGTTTCAATGGCTTGGGATGCTCTTTCTTCTCCTGCTCACCCTCCCAGTCTCAGCTGAAAGCCCCTTTGTCAGGGACCAGGTCCCCAGGGTACCCCAGCCAGCGCCATCACAGCTGTGGTTTCACTCTGACGTGATCGGCTCAGGTCCGCCTGCCTCTCCCACTACAGGGTCTGCTCTGCATAGCATCTAGGGAGCTGCACATGCAAACACCCCCATTCCCAGTGCCTGGCCCATAACAGATGCTCAGTAAATAGGTGTCTCATGAATGCGGCGATGAGTCACGGGCTCGCCCAATCCCAGGTCTCAAGAGAATAGGAGAGCGGAGCCCAGGAGGGAGGGGTGTAGTATGTGCCCATGGTCATGGCCACACTGTGGAGAGCGGTGGCAAGTAGGACCCCAGCCCCTCTCGAGGCACTCTGTCCTCCACCTTTCTCGGAAAGACCATGAAATTTCAGCTGCTGTGAAACACCAGCTCTGCAGCACTGACAGAGCCGTTACTATCACTGTGAGTAATGTGATCAGACCACAGAGATGCCAGCACCGCCAAAGCACATCCTGCCACCATCGGTCCCTCCTCCTCTGAGCCTCAGTGTTCTCATCTCTGAAGCAGGCATGTGGCAATCGGGTGGAGTCAGGAGGTGGCTGGGAGTCAGCAAGTAGGGCCTAGGGTAGGAAGCCAAGTGCCACCTGTGGGTGGCAAGCCACGTCCCTCCCCAGATTATGGGGCCCCACCCTTCGCCACCTGTCTGAAGTGGACCCTGACCCTCTCTTGTCAATCCAGGTACCGGAAAGTGGTGTCCAACGTGTCTTGAGGGTGGGGTGGACCTGCAGCAGAGTCGGCACAGCTGCAGAGTGCCCCCTCCCACGCCGCTCCGGGGCCTGCAGGTCAGCATCCAAGGTGAGGCGGTGGCCATGTGGCCTGGAGAGAGTCCTGTTTGTGGTGCGGCAGGGAGCAGGTGAGTGAGCACCTCCCAGGCTCCCAGGACTGTCGGGCAGGGTGGCTCAACTGGAGCTGCAGAGGGCATGGTGAAGGGTGTCTCCCTCTCTGCCTAGAAGTGGCTCGGGGGCATCGCCTCAGCCCAGGCTGTCAGACTGCAGGAGGCAGCAGGGGAGTTGAAATCTACTTCCTGGGTCCAGACCAGCATTTACGAGTGAGAGAGACACGCGGAGAAGAATAGAAGGAGCAGGATGTAGGGGTATCAGGGTCTCCAAGAGCAGAAGGAGACGTGGTTTCACACATCAGGAGCGTGTGTAGTTACTGGCCTTGGTATAAAATGTATTCATTCCTGTAGGTGTGTACATTTTTTAAGCCTGTAATTATGTCGATTTAGTTAATTTGGGATCTTATGAAAAACAGAAAGTTAAAAACACTGTACTTATAATTACACAACCAAAAATAAATCCTGTGTGTGCATGGACAGATACAGATATAAACTCTCACAGAAACACAGATAAAAATTTCCTCCTAGCCTCCCAGGCTTTGCTTTAGAACAAGTGTATATTTTCTTCTGAAAATTTAAAATAATGAATGTTCATTGTAGAACATTTGGAAAACACACACAAAATATCAAGAGTATAAATATCTCTCCCAAAGCCCCCCAGTCCTCCATGGTAACAACTGTTAATTTTTGTATTTCCTTCTAGTCTTTTTAAATTAATTTTGTAACATGCTTATTTTCTGATGGTTGAATAAACTAATGCTCATTGTAGCAAATTCAAAAAACAAAACCTAAAAGAAAAATTTACAAGCATTGCAGAAAATTCAAGATGACAGAAAAGAGCAAAGGAGAGTTCGATGCCTCCGTGTCGCACCCGGAGGGTGAGTGCCTAGGACCCTGGGCGCTCTCCTGGCACGTAGCTTTCCTGGGCACTTGGTTGTTTGATAGACAGTACAGGGGATGAAGCAAGTGCACAGCTTCACAATGATGTGTGTCTGTTTAAATGTCCTTCAAAATAGGTGGGGTGGGATGTTGGTGACAAAGGTCTTTGGAGCTGGAAAGCAGGGAGCCTGGTCTAATGCAAACAGGCAAACTGAGGCCCAAGAGGACGCAGAGCGGTGCTTGCCAAGTGCCTCCCATAGCTGGGCGCTGTGCACCAGCCACTGCCTGTACTCCTGGCACCACCTCAAGTGGCATCCTCTTGCCAACCTGCTTTATAGCTAGGGAAACTGAGGCTCGGACAGTGCAGTCACTCTCCCAAGGCCACACGGGAATGAGTGGCAGGGCTGGCATTAGGGTCCTGGCCCTTGAGGCTCTGTGGACAGAGACCGAGTCTAGGGGCCCCCAGACCTGAGCCGTTTCCTGGTGCTAGTGCGGCTGCACTGTTGGAGATAGGCCCTGGAACCCACACTCCTCGGAGCCAGGGCAGCCTGGGGCGCCTCTGTTCCCAGTAGCATCTTGGGTGACAGGAGAACAGAGCTGCTGCACCTGGACCCTCAAGTGGACTCCGCTGTGACTGCCCGTCAGAATGACATCCAGGAAAAATGGCCCTCTGCTGCCCCCTAGAGCCTGGCGTCTCCGCAGTGCAGTCGCATCTGCAGTCTCTATAGAGGTGATCACACCTGCCCAGGGCGGACCCCTTAGCACAGAGGGGGATGCTCTGCTTGGGCAGGAGCTGGGGTTGGTGGAAGCGGGGAGAGTGATCAAGGTGCTCTGGTGGGGAAACCAGCCCCCACCCCACCGTGCACCTACTATCAGGAAGAGGCCACCCGCTACGCTAGGGAAGCGGGTGGGAGTGTAAGTCCAGGGTGGGCCACTCACTGGTATACATGCTCACATACACAAACTCACACACAGACACACATACGCTTACACGCTCATGTATTCACTCTCAAACTCGCAGACAGATTTGTACACATTCAAACTTGCTCTCTCACACCATAGGCCAACCTACTCTTTGACACTTTGGGTTTGGGGGAGTCTGAGTTTTGTAAGTATCTTAATTAAAAGAAGATTGATAGAGGCCCCAGGAATAAACCATGTAATATATCCGAGGGATGTTTGATGTTAGTGCGAAAACGCTCACTGAGGAG